GTTGGAGTTCATGTACAGTGTAGTTTTTCGTTCTTAATTATAACACCTAATTAGGCCAAAATATAACCCCTAGATGTAACTATGTTTTTGATGATTTAAAAGACTCCTCATCTCTATTTTAAGACCATAATGGAGTGGATGTTTATAGTCCTTCAAAGTAGCTTTTGAGTTTTCCATACTACATGGATTTAGTATTTTGGCGCTCAAGGATTTTCTGGTTCTCACTCTGATTTTTGCAATTCTGAAGACCTAAATAAGTCATCTTAGATAATAGTTAAAATACTAAAGCACATGACATAGCTATAAAGTGCTCATAATTTATAGCACTATAATTACAGTTCTTCCTTTTCCTTTAGTTCCACATCTTGGTGAACAGGAATGAAGATTAATTCTGCAAGATTATTTAGTCTACTGAAAACTGAAATCCTTTTGTCAATATGTTCCAAGCAGGATATCATATCTCACCTTGATAGTCCTTCTCTCTTCAGAAATGCTTAGAATTGCCACAAGTAATTCCACAGGAATTAGTGTTATTCATAGTATTTATTTTGTATGTTCTATCAGTACTGTATATTCTCTTTTATCTGTGTGGACACTCCAAGGAACCTGAAAACTGAGTATATAACTTTATATTTACATATATGCTTTAAAACAAAATCTGTTTTTTTGACCTATATATTATCTCAGTATCAAGTACTATTAAACAATTTTAACTGTATCCTTTTTTGTTTAAATTACACTCGTCAATAAAATAAGCCTTACTTAAATTAATGTCTTTAAATAGCTTTAAAAGCTTCTTTTTAAATAGAGAAATAAACATTACAAATGGGCAAAGATAACTATAATTATGAAAAGGCCAAAAAAAGAAGGGAGAAAGGGAAGACGGGCAGATGGAAAGAAGGAGAGCTTAAAATACTTCTTAATTTGTGTTCCCAGAATCACAGTCCGAATCCCTTTTTTTCCTTACCCCCTCATGGTTATATTCCCTTTTTAATGAAGATCATTCCAATAAGTAAGTTATCAAGTCTTTATCAAACACTTAATACGTGTTCAGAGTTGTTGGATGCTATGAAAGAAATGGAAAATATGGCCCCGGATCTCAAAAAACTAGAAATCCAAAGCCAAGACTGCATTTCTCAAACAACCAAAGAAGAACATAAAGCAGCATGAAACTGAGTGGCACACTGTATACAACTGGGGAATAGAGAGGCCAATATAGGCTGCATTGGTAAGACAACTTGGCCTGGGCTTCAAGGTGATGGGTAAGGAAGGGCTATGGCATTTATCTTGGACTTGAAGGATTGACAGAGGGACAGATAGCCAGAACAGACAAAATCCTGGCCAAAGAAAATGGGTAAGCTTTCTGCAATTAAGAATTTTTAGTGCTGATTAATTAAAAATGCTGAAATTATTTTTTCTACCAGCTAGAATGATAGTCAACTAGTGCAACCTACCATGATTATCATTAACATTTAAAAAGTTAATTGTTCTCACATGCTTTACATAGAAAAATGAAGGCATAACTTAAAATCTTAGAGGATTATAGCCTGAATAATGTGCTTAGCACAGGTCTCTGTACCCTAAATTCTCAATAAAATTGAGAATTGACTACAAAAGAAATGTATTTTTGTCCATGTCTCTAACAGAAGAGACTTGCTCCCAAAATGTCTTTAATTTGTGGTTTCTGACTCTGCTTTACCATTTGAAGTCATGGTTTTAGATTGTAGATTATTTTGAAATGACAGAACTAATAAATAAAGAGCAGCTGTGCTAATAACCCCATGTCAAACAAGAAACTAGAGTAAAATAGTTAAAAGTTGACACGACAATACAATATAGCTTTTGTGCAAATTTGCTGGCTTTAGAAATGGTGCTTAAGCTGCTGCTTTTCTTTTGTTGAGGGTCATTGTGAGGATGGTTGGATGTGGAGGCAGAGCCCAGAGATCTGTTATGCCTCTCTACCCATTAGGCCTGATGTGAGCCCCTACTGAGGGCCATTGCATGAGGACACGTGGCCGTTGTGTGTGTTATGGTGTGTCAGGCTGGAACAGCAGTGGTAAATGTGAGGCCATGCTTCCCACCCTGGCACTGAACCACATGTAGCAGGCAGATGCTCAGACAGTTGAGAATTTTTAAAAAATTAATCCGAGCATTTCAAGTAAAATCCTTCTCTTGGAATGAGTATCTGTATTCTTCTAGTTTATTTGTATTGTGTGGAATAACAGATGTTCGAACCTGTTGAGGAAGCAGGCACTGGTGACTATAATTAGAAAATAGCTGTGAAAAAATAATTGCCTACTTGTAAGAAGAAATTGCATTTTAAGTTTATTTTATACAGAGTAACTAAAAAAAATGACGTAATAATTCTCCTTTAGAATTTTGATTAAACATGTTTTAATAATATTTTGAAAGCAGTTGTTATTGGTGATTTACAGTTAGTCTCTTCATCCTTTGTCCTCTGAGGTATATGCGTACAGCACTGATTTGTGTTTATCTTTGCATTTTTGTTTTACCAATTACTTTATTCAGGATCAACGTGTGCCATAAATTCTTTATCTCTTTGGTTTTGAAACTTTCAAGTGATGAATCTCTGTTTCAAAAAATGTGCATCTTTGTGAAAGCTGCCTGCATATTGTGATAACGAGAGAATACAGAATCACTTTGTGTGTTTGTTTTGCTGATAATATAGTCTGTTGTCTCAAAAAGTAAGCTTATTTTTTTCTGCTGCTTTGTATCAAATAAGAAAGTAATATTCTATAGGTGACCTTTGTCTTTAACTTTATATGTGTGCATTTATACTCAGAGAAACTTCAAAAGGCAAATGCTCAAATTTACTTTCAATTTATTGATTCATTGTACAGATAAAACTTTCTTATTTAAACATATACTTGTTAAATGGACTCATGTTTCATTATATAAGAAAACTGTAAATGCTTTTGGCCATTTGATACTATATTAGGAGAAATAAATAGATCAGATGTGACAAATCGTTTGAAATTTTTTAGTTGAACACATTTTTAGAATTTCCCAAGTCTTTTTCATTAAACATTGCTCAAATTATTTAATTTAAGGCAGATATATGTGTCTAATACAAGTGGGTGTATGTAGTGAAATAAAAACAAGTTTTTCTTTATCTAGTTCCCTTTCTTTTCTATTATAAGAGATGGGAAAGGTAGGAGCAAACAAATTATAGGATTAAACAGATATTATGACCTATCTATGTTTCAAAAATATACACATGTACAAATACATCCAAAATTTCTTTGTAGCTAGAACAGTAATACTCAATCCTCTAAAATGGTTTCCTTTGCACTTTGAGTATAAATAAATGTTTCTTAACACCTGGGAATGGCCAGTCTTTAGGACTTTTGGCAGGTTTCTGTTATGTTAAGTAATTTTCTACCCCTGTTTTTCTAACTGAAGATTTAAAGGAAATTAGCAAATATAATTTATCCAGAGAAGTTTACTTCCTGGGACTATACATTCAAATGGTCCTAAATTGAAATAATTAACTGAAATAATTTTTAAATGTCACATTAGATTTCTACCTTAGTGACTTCTACTTTTATTTGCAAATTGTCTTAGAATTCTTAACCTGTTGAATATTTCTCAATATGTATATAACATATTTATAGAAATATTCTTTTAAAAGAGATACATTTTGGAAATGTTATAGTTAGATAAATGACATGACTGAAATTAGTGATCTAAAAGGCAAAAAACAAAAACCTCAGACAAACCAAAAACAAAAAGTCCTCAGTTTGAGTCTCCTACTACTCACTCAACGCTACTAACATCTTTCTTCAGAATTATGGTTAGCTTCGAACCTAGTAGGATAGATACTCATATCAAGAAATAGCACAACAGTATATATAGCACAGGAGGATCTTGACTTTATCCCTTCAATAGTTGGTTGACTACGCTGAACCTCAGTTTACTAATCTGTTATATGTATGTAATAGTTCTTATGGTGAAAATTACATGAGTTTATATTTGTGCTTCACTTGAGTTGTACTTCAATCACAATATGAGGTATCTGTGTAACAGTTATGTGTTATAATCTGATTTTAATGTGAGGGGTAATTATTGTTATTATTACTAATCATTGTGGTTCAGTATCCTAATTAGCCACATGGGGTGTGTCTGTGTTTCCCTCAGAATTCCATAACTGTAACTAAACTGCATTATACTATTTTAAAGCACATCTTAGTAGAGGAATTAAGATATTTTTTAGTCTTACCTTCATGCAAGAGTACTCAGCTTGACACTTTAACTTTACTATTGGTAATTTGTGGTAATTATTTATTGCCTTTAGATAAGGGAGTAGTTACTATATAATCATCAGTTTCCTGACTCTACCTTTCTCTTAGCTGTTACCAAAATGTTGAACTTTCTTCAGTAATATATGCATTATATATTACATATAGTATACATATAATAAATATATATAATATATTATCATATTATATATGATATTTCTTCAGTAATTATATGTCAATTATTCCATTTTATCATTTCTATTAATAGAAACTAAAGTTAAAAATCCTCATGTATAATTCCTTATTCTGAGCAAAGAGAATTAAAATTAGGCTTTAGCAAACAGACGGTAGTATGCTACTATGGTATTTATGTTCCTTTTTTTTTTTTTTTTTCTATTTTTTGAGAAAGCAAGATTTATTGAGAGGAAGAAAAGCTCCCACAGTGGGAGGGGACCCGAAGGGGTTGCCCTGCTTTTTTTTTTTTTTTTTTTTTGCGAGGAGGTGGAGAGTGACTTACTACTCATAATAATTATTCTTAGGTTATATGTTGATTTACATGATAAACTTTAGTGAGAAACTTTAGTAAGAAGCACAGATTTTGTTGACTGTATTTATATCTGGTAAATTCACTGTGTTAAGTCTTACACATTTTTCCCCTTGGAAGAAATTGTGAATGTTTAAAACTAGGTAGCTCAGTCTTGATATTTTCCCCTAACTAACCATGTTTTCCTTTCATTTTAGTTCAGACTTGGTTCCTTCAACCTAGAGAAAGTGGCAAGCCCAGCTGAGGTCATTAGAGAACTTATTTGTTACTGCTTGGACACCATTGCAGAAAATCGAGCCAAAAACAAGCACCTGCAAAAAGAAAATGAAAGGCTCCTGAGAGATTGGAATGATGTTCTAGGACGGTGTGTACACAGTGTGTTTGTGTTACCAAAAGACAGATCACTTTATGTAGCTGGGGCTTCAAGTTAATGACTTGCAAATATAAAATATATGTAGATTAGTGTGTATTTAAAATAAACCTACCATTAATTCTACCTTTACTTAGTATGACTAAACTGAATTGTCAGTCACCATTGTATATTACTGGAGTGCATTAATACTTTTATGTCTTTAGTATGTGGTGGCACCAACAGATTTATCAGCAGTAAGGAAAAACTGAACATTGAGACTCAGGACTCTTTAGTATTAAATTTAAAATTAGGTAGTAGATATTTGTAAGGATCAATTCAACTCTAATTATTGAGTTCACAATGAACTCAGTAATGAACCCAATAATGAAAAAAGACATGAGATAAAATAAGCACAAATGATTCCTTATTTGGAACCCATGAGTGGCAACTGTTTCACATGATGTGTGCTTTGGCTCCTATTAGAGACTCATTTCTCCTGATTGATTGAAAATTCATATTACCAGCATTTTTAAAAGATGAAGGAATTGTGGCTACTGGAAGAGACATTTGGAAGTCTTTTTTCCCCTGGCTTTGCCTCTTAGATTTTAAACGAGAAGGGAAAAGTAATTTCTTTTCAATTATGAACTTGCTCAACTAAGTCGTAATCTAGACTGACCCTGTATGTAATACATATTACTCTATTATGTAAAAGATGTTTAAAGGAAGTAAAATGCGTGTTGTAAACATTTATATCCCTACAGAGATATATATAATAATACATGTTTGTACACTCATGTATATAATGATGTCTGAAATGATTATGTGAAATATATATATAATAATGATAATAATTAGTATTGTAATATATTCCAGTACATCCAGTAGATTTTTTTTATCTTTCATTCAAACTAATAGCTCTAAAGCATAGGAATACCTGTTCTAAATATTTAAGGTCTCCTTAGGGCAACCATTGTGATTGCTCTATGTGAACATAGTATGTGGAGAGTACATTAAAAATAGGAACAGATTTTGCCACTATCAATATATGTTTGTGAAAAAGAGGGGGGCTAAAAATATTTTTCAGTCTCTTTGATTATATATTTTAATTAATGCAAGACGTGTAAAATTAAGTTTCTAACCCCTGGTTATTTTTGGCTCTTAGTTACTATTTTAAGAAAGTATTTGTTTAAAAAAAGAAAAGAAAGTATTTATTTTGTTCTATTTTAAATCTAAATTAATTTTATCTCCAATTATATACAATAATATATAAAAGAATAAACAAATAAGGAGTCCAAATCAAAATTGTGTATTAGGAAATCACACAGAAAGGAAATTAATTTTCCTCTTTTACTTCTGTTTTATTCATTTTAGTATGAATCAGTACCAATTATCTGTGCTACAAAGCATTTTTTTGTACCCATATCTGTGTTTGGGTATATTTTTCTATTTAATATATGAAATAAATCAAATTAAAGAAGATGTGCTGTGTTCGTGATAAGCCATTATATTTAAAACTCAAAATATCCTCAGGATGATAGGAAATTTGATCCACAAATTGCTCACAAAAATGCAGACTGGGTAGTTGGTACTTGAACAAATTGCTTTAACATGTCTGCCAGAGGTTGAAAGAGGTATTATCTCATCAGTATTCAGCACCACTCCCAAGGAATTGAACGCAGCAGGGAGTGAAGATGAAGCCTAGAGACAAATGCACCCTGTACCGTGGAATAGTATGAGGGGCGCATGTGATACCTGGCCCACAGATGCTTCGTTGGTTATTTCTGAACTGTCCAGAAACTGCTTTTGTCTTATTGTGGCAAAAGATCTCCTGTTTGATGAAAAGCACATCCGTGTACCCAGTCACCCACCATATTACAATCCAGCTATGCTTTTTTGATCCTACTGGATCGACTGTCTTCTGAAGGACTGGAGGTGTGTGTGCCATCCAGGTGACCCTATGGGCAGAGAAGCCAACGGCAGAAGATTCTTGATTGTATTACAGGTGTTGGGTCAGTGTTTTCAGGTATCTCCCAGATTTGGTTTTTTCCCCATTTCAGGGGGAGAGTGGCACCTTTAGGGAGCCATGAGTAATCTTGCTGTGGCCAAGCAGCACTTTTACAGGGTCCCTTCACCAGCGCCTTAGTATCCAGGGAAGATGAGCACAGGTTTCACGGCTCCTGCTTCCATAAGGCAAGGGTTCCAATAAGAGTCTTTAAAGAGATTAGAAATAGAACATGAGCATACTGAGTTAGGTAGCCTGAGGCAGAGAAAGTAGAGACTTATGAGAGTTGGGCCATGATGTTAGTCCTGCACACAGCTCAGTTTTGGGTCAGCCTCTGATGATGCTTGTGTCAATGTCCATCCATGACCCAACCATTTCCTCTCTATTTTCCACACAGTATATGAAGGGATAGGAGAATGAGAATAGGGGGAGCATCACAAGGTAAGGGATGTGTATTCCTCTAGAAGCTGTGACAAGTGGGTCTGAAATATACTTTATATACAATAGGAACATGATATGAGCAAAGCCCAATTATGTACACATGTGCTTATTAACATGAAACATGTTTTTGATATGTTAAAGGGAGACATGCATTACCAAAAGTATGAATAATATCCCATTGTTGGCAAATTATGTGTTCTTACAGAGAATATCTAGAAAGAGAAAATTTAACATTAATAATGTGTCTGAAATTGTAGATTAAACTCTTCTTTAGTTTTGGGATTTTTTGCATATATTTTGGTATTTAAATTTGTGTCAACTAAAAGCTGTTTCCATTTGGTTGATGGTGGGGAATAACAAGGCTCAAGTGAGGAATAGAAATCACAGCATGAGTAAAAAGAGGGAGTTTTAATGTACATGATTTTAACATACATATTTACTGTTATTTTTAAATTGCTAGTTAATAATTGTGGTCTTGGCTTCATTGTAAGTAAGTGACATTGCTGGGTTAATCTAATTTTGTGTTGCTTAGTTAAAAGCAAAAATGTCAGAAATTTGTATATGAATCCTTATGTTACTAGCTATATTTATTCCCTGAATTTTCCTACTTAATTTCAAATAATAACTCTCAAGATACATGTTTCTCAATAGGTCTTTTGTTTGCACTTGGACTTCAGTTTAGAAACTCTCTGACTTTATTCTGAGTTATAGTTATTAAACCCCTAATTGGAGGTAGTTTGCAGTGAATTGGGTTGACACTCATGGAATCATTAGAATAGGAGACCTTGAAAGCTTCTCTTCTTCTTCTCTCTGCCTTCAAGATAGAATCACATTCTATCCAGATGAATTGCCTGATTTTTAAAGACCTCAAGAGATCTCTTCATCTCTCCTTGGTAGCCCATTATAGTGTTTAAGAACAGTCATGGTCAGAAAATCCTTCTATCTCTGGGTAACCTGAGTCCTTCATGGTACAGTTGAAGGCCATTTCCTCTTGTTCTGCTGTCAGAAAGGATGAGGAACAGCTGTTCACCATCATCTTCTGTACTTAAAGACCTATTAAATCTCTTTAACACTGCTTGCTTTTCCAGTCCTTTTCAGCTTTCTTTGTCCTCTCAACTCTATTCAGATTTTTTTTTTTTTCTGTACAGCCCTGACCAGGAAATAAACTTGGCCAGAACTGATTATTAATATAAAGATTACTGCACTGTTTCTAAGTATCATATGTTCACATTTATGCATATACTGTTTTATTTTGGGCTATCATTTATTCTATTGTTTTATTTTGGGTGTTATTTTGCATGAAATTGCTTTGGTTTTGCTCTTATTTTGTTATTTTTTTGACATGTTATTCTTAGATTCTTTTCCCATACAAATATTTTAATTTGAATATTCAGTATTTGTATATAGTTAGTTTTTATCCTTTTAATTTAAAAAAAAAATTACTACCCTTTGGTTCAAGGTTCTAGATCCTCAGTCCCAGGATACTAATTCAGTTTAGGATTATTTTTCTATTGTCCTAGTTAACGTTGAAAGAATAATGTGTCATTAGACGTTACCTGTTTGATGTTATTTATGGTTTCATCTGATTTCAACTTTGCCTTTGAGGTAATTTTTAACTACCTGTGGTCTGATCTAGCCATATGTGAACTTCCTTTAGTGTCACTAGACTTAGCAGTGAACCCTATGTCTCATCCACTAGACAGTCTCACGTAATAATTCTTGTCCAATTCTTGAGGCAAGTGGTATGGATGATTTTTAATGGAGATTTTAAAAAAAGTGCAGAGGATACTATGTACCTCTTAGTTACTGAATATTGAACAAAAAAATAGCTTTCCCCAAGTCTGTTGAAAAATTAATATTTAAGAGTAAATTCGTGTCATAAAATAATTCACACTAATACTGTGTCCCAGGCAACCCTCTCTCCAACTGTTTTGAATATGTGGTCCATTTAATGACCAGAAGTTTAGCTGCAACAAAATTGTAACACCTTGCTAAAACCAAACAAGGTTAACTCACCTGATACCATTTATCCTATTGACTTTGTTTTCTTATCACAGAAGCAATGTTAACTTTGACAGTGTAATTCTGATCCTGATTATTTAGATTAAGAGTATTTTTAGGCAAATTATAAGATACTTCATATTTATATGTATGTTCACTTTTAATGTGTATATCAAATGGTAATTTTAATAAACGTTTGAGAATCTGTTTGACAGTTGTTAAGTGTACACAATCTTTGTCAACAATTATTGAAGTGACTTATATGGAAATTAAATATGAATTTAAGACAGATAAATTACTAACTAGTTATTATTCCTAAAAGTTTATATAAAAATTGTAATACTATATGAGAATTTTATTTGTTTAATTTTATATATTGGCTTTGACTTTGCATACATTTGAAGTATTTTATTATATATTCAGGTATTTCAGTATTATGTATGTGCTATTTATGTATTTATTTATATTTGTTTATTTATTTTGAGTTGGAGTCTCACTCTTGTCACCCAGGCTGGAGTGCAGTGGCATGCTTACAGTCACCTCAGCCTCGACCTGCTGGGCTTAGGTGATTCTTCTGCCTCAGCCTTCCAAGTAGCTGGAAGTACAGATACAAGCCACCATACCTGGCTAGTTTTTGTGATTTGTTATAGAGACGAGGTCTCACCAAGTTGCCCAGGCTGGCCTTGAACCCCTGGGCTCAGGCAATCCTCTTGCCTCGGCCTCCCAAAGTTCTGGGATTACAGACTGAGCCACTGTGCCTGGCTAATTATTTATTTTTTTAAAACTTTTTTTTATTGTATTACATTAGAAAATATTACAGGAAGATGAGAATATTATAATTATATAACACTTTGCATGTGAAATTTGAAATTTAATGCTTAAAGCCATCCATATTGGTAGCTCCTTTTCCATTTTTACATCTTTTGGTGTACCTCTTTCTCAGAGAGCTTTGCTTGATGAAGAGAATACCGTTAAATTAGTATTATTTGCCACAATTTACTGTTACAATGGTGAACAGCTGTTAAATTAGTGAAAAAATATAATATTCAGAATCTCTGGATTTCTATTGCCTTGTAAGTTGTCCTATTAGCCTTTCTCTTGGCCCTTCTCCTTCAGAGGAAGCCACAAGCAGCCATGGTATGCAACTCATATGATTGGCTCCTGAGGCCTTCCTTCCATAAGCACATGGTTTAACCAACTGGCTGGGAAGAACTGCAGGCATGAGGTTGGGCAAGCCAAAGCCCCTGGCACAGCCCTTCCCTGTGGACCCATCGACCCCTAGAAAGATGCCCCACAGCACGGCATCACACCAAGTGCCAGCTGGCAGGGCTTCAGGTAGGATGGTTAAGGGAGGCCAGCCTCCACCACAAGGTGACCTGGACCCATGGTGTCTCTGTAGATCCAAGGATGTGAAACTGCCCACTGTGTCCCTGCAGGCCTGTGGGCAGCAGTTGAAGGAGATAGCTGCAAGCTCATCCTCTTCCCCAGGAAGCCTCAGCCTCCAGTAAGGGAGGCCGCTTTGCTACAGATCTCAGATTTGCTGTCCCACTGACACTACCACTACAGGAAGTCTGCTAGAAGGAAAAGCTCATCACCCCCAGGAGGAGGGGGACCTCAAGACTGTCTGCACCAATGCTTGGGCAGAAAGGATCATGGCAGCTGCAGAGTGGGGTGCTAAAAAGGAATAATAAGGTACTGTAGAGGACTTGTAATCAGTCAGCAGTGGAGCTGGAAAAGCAACAGCAAAAACCATGTGCATGTTAGCTCACTCATTTTATTCATTACATAAGAAACACCCACTAAACATCTGTGCTAGGCACTGAGGATACAGCAGCCAATGAAACATGTCCTCTCTGCCCTCATGGATTGTACAGCATTGTCAAAGATTGCCATGAGAATTTGCTGTAACTGGCCCAAAGAAAATGCCATTGTTTTCCTTTCTTCCCATAAGAGTCCTTAATTCTCTGCATCTCTAGGTAGAGTGTTGAAAGTGTAAAGGCATAAAAATGAAAGTATCAAATTTTGACATTTTTGTTTCTAATTATTTCAGTGAAATATTTATGTGCATATATATGTATACACACATGAGTATATTGCTCCTGGCACATATGCATGTATGTTTATGTATAATATAAAAATACTAGTAATATAATATATTAATATAAAAATATTAAAATACCCATGGAGAACAACAGCAATATAAGTAAGCAATATCCTAAATTACACCACATTTCGAAAACATGAAATAATTTGTATTTGAATCTATAAAATAAGAATTTATTTATGGTGGGGGGACCCCCAAAAACCTGGAATGATCTTTTGAAGGGCTTGCCCCTTATAGAGTACCCTCAGAATGAGTGTTCAGCAGTTTTCGACCCAAAATGACATGAACCCCATGTCCCACCCTTTCTATTCACTTGATCTTGCCCTGAGCTACTTTTCTTGTTTCCCCAGATGAAAAAAAGTCCCTAAAGGTAAACATTTTGCTGATGTGGAAGAGATGAAACAAAAAATAGCAGAAGCACCAAAAGCATCAAAATTCACGAGTTCAAAAACTGTTTTTGGGTAGTAGAGAAAGCATCTTGATAGGTGTATTGCGTCAACCAGAGAGTAGTTTGAAGTTGACTGAGGTTTAAACATGTAAGAATAAATACACAATATTTTATAAATAAATTCCTGGGCTTTTTGGTCCCCCTTCATATGTGTATGCATGTATTAAGTATATATGACCTCAGCTAGTTTGCTTTCTCTATATGTCTGTGTCTCTGGGAAGATAAAAATAAATACAATCCCTTGTTAGCTCATTTGAGCAGTTAGGAAGAATGATTAATAATAGCTAATTGTATATATTTGTCCTACATATCTAACATTGAAGAAATAGTGTTTCACCTTTGATGTTTCATTAATCTCTCCTTGGACATATTACATAGGATATGTTCGTGTTAATGTATGTGAATGTGTTTATACGTATGCGTGTAGTGCTGGGTTACAAGGGTACAAATGGATAAGTCATGTTCATATTCATGTTTATATTCTAGTAGGAAGATGAAACAGATTCATTTATCATACAACAAGATCATGGTTGCTATTATAGTAATAATAAGATAATGAGGAAACACAGGCTACACTTATTCTTGTTTGAAATTTTTTCCTTATAAACATTCTTTTGTAAACAAATCATAAATATGAATAAATTAGCACATCTAAGCATTTAGATTCTCTAAAGCTTTATTTGTATCGGTTTTCTTTTCTTTTTTTTTGAGTTGGAGTCTCACTCTGTCGCCCAGACTGGAGTGCAGTGGCTGCTCCCGGCCACCGCAGCCTGCTGGGCTCTGGCAATCCTTCCACCTCAGCCTTCCAAGTAGCTGCAATTACAGGTGTGTGCTGCCACACCCGGCTAATTTTTGATTTATTGTAGAGATGAGGTCTCGCCAAGTTGCCCCAGGCGGGTCTCGAACCCGCGGGGTCAGGCAATCCACTCATCTCAGCTTCCCAAAGCGTGGGATTACAGGCTGAGCCACTGAGCCCGGCTTGTATCAGTTTTCAATTATAATTCTTATCTCTGTCCATAAATTCCTAACATTAATAACCAATAATTTCCAATTATTTATTTAACTACATAACACTTTTAAGACAGTGAAAGCATATGTAAAAAATGACCTTTAATTGTATTTTCCCTGAAAAGTTTTCTTGAAATCTTCTTGAGTATTAGACTAACTATATTAATGATAAGAAGACTTGCATGATTTATCTGTTTATTTGCTTTTTAGATTTGAAAAATGTGTGAGTGCTAAGGAGGCTTTGGAGACTGACCTTTATAAGCGGTTTATCCTGGTGTTGAATGAGAAGAAAGCAAAGATCAGAAGCTTACACAAACTGTTAAGTGAAGTCCAGGAACTAGAAAAGAACACTGAGCAAGAAAAGTAAGTTGGCCTTCCTGTTTTCAGGAGACAGATGCATACATTTCAGTGGAATTCTTCACAAACCTAATGACAGTTAGGTACTGACTTTCTAGTGCCATGAGACCATTGGCAGTCTGGGTTGGGCGCTGGCTGGTAGACAGGGAGGCCGTGGGAAGAGAGTCCCCAAAGTGGGCTCTCTGCGTCTGCTGACCTGTCTCACCTGCACTAAAATTCTAAAACTGGCATTAGACCTATCTAAATATTATTTGGTATTTTAAATAACTGATGTAATATTAATATCACCAAGAAATATAGTAATTAAAAGAACAAACCTTTCATCTCCTGCAAAGCTATGGAGTAGGACACATATTTGTAACCTTGCAGTCTTAAGCAACAGTGAACTTTAAAATCAAGTGGTAACTGGGTTCGGCTCAGCCTGTAATCCCGCACCCTTGGGAGGCTGAGGTGAGTGGATTGCCTGAGCCCATGGGTTCGAGACCTGCCTGGGCAGGTGAGACCTCATCTCTACAATAAATCAAAAAATTAGCCAGACGTGGTAGCGCGCACCTGTAATTCTGGCTACTCGGAAGGCTGAGGTGGAAGGATCGCCGGAGCCCAGCAGGTCGAGGCTGTGGTGGCCGGGAGCGGCCACTGCACTGCAGTCTGGGCAACAGAGTGAGACTCCAACTCAAAAAAAAAAAAAAAAAATCAAGTGGTAAATGTTTAATTCCAGGGAGCATTTAATTTCTTGATTAGAGTGCGATCATCTGTCTCATTCTTGTATCCAGTTTTCTCTGAGAGTGGGTGTGCACTTGATTTTTAAGAAAGTATCCTAAGTAATACATAGCCAGTATGGCTTTGGAAAGTTATAATTTTTTTTTAAGTCATGCGCAATTTAGGGTCTGTTGCCCTGAATCTGAGAAGAGGCAAGTTTGTCAGTGTCCTAGGATCAAAAATCATATCATTTGATATCAACTAGTCCTACTTCGCATGGTGGTCTGTCACTTATGTCTATTTATGATTTTGGACAAGTTACTCTATCCTTATAATAAATGTACAGGTCTTGGGTTTTGGGAAGGTCAAAGGAAATGCAGAACTGCTTTGAGATTAGTAAAATGCTAAACACTCTGTGACCCACAGAGGTAATTTAGTATAATACTATTTTGATAGAAGAAGAAGTGATAATAAACTGACTTAGGATTAGTTATAGTGAGCACTAAAACAATATTCAGATTATTATCAAAAGAGAAACTTGTCCTTAAGAGAATTAATATATAATTTTAAAGTGATTTCATCTGAATTATATATCTATATATATAATATATATATTTCAGTATATGTTTGTCTGATTCAAATCTTTTTGTAGTAATATTTTCCTGAAAAATATTACTTACTGGCAATTTGATGCCTAGCCAGGGTGAGCCAAAGATTTATTATTCTGCCTTTCTTGGTGTCCAGGGAAACCACAGCCTTTTCTGAAACGACTGTTGACCACAATGCGGCCTATGATGAAAGCACTGATGAGGAGTGTGGAGACCAGGCTGAGTCCTCAGTGTCAGCTCCCAGTAAGAGAAGAGCATTTATCTCCTTGTTGGCTATCTCACTTGGACGTCTTACTTTAATGATAAAGACACCACTATGAAAAATGTTATGATAAAATGTATTCTACAAAACTTACTAAGAATTGTTAATCTAAAACCTCACATTTTGGGGGTTAACGGTTAATATTTGGTGTAAAGTGCAGCAAATCATTAGCATCAGCAGAGCTAGCAGGCATGTGTGCATGTGTACTCCAGGTACATGTGTCCTCTCAGCAAACCTGGGTGCATATGCAGTGAGGCAGAGATGCTGTAATGCTAACTGGCATCAACTCAGACCTTGGGGGTCTTGTCTAGCTACAGCCAGCATGAGCACTGCTTCAGGTTTTCATGAGGCCAGGCCTTCTCTCATTCTTTGGAGTAAGGATTACGGGAGTGAGATGTGTCAGAGGAGCAGGGAAGCTGGCAGTTAGCGTGGAGTTCCTGAGCCTATCAGATACTAGCAAGGAATTAAACCCATGTATTTTTTTTTTTTTTTTTTTTAGAATTCTGTAGATTTCCTAGGGGCAGTGGAATTCACTTTATACTTGGAATTTTTTTTAAACCTAAACCCAATATTATCAAAAACAAATGCTTAATTCATTTATTTAGAAACATTTTTTGATGTCTTTTATGTATTAGGGAATTTTCTTTGCAGTAGAGGGAAAAACACAAAAATCTGTGGCATGGTAGAGTTCATATTCTAATCAGGGAAACAGATGATAAGATGGATAAATATAAAGTATGTTAGGTTGATAAGTGCTAAAGAGAAAAATAGCACTTCCGCAGGATGGAAATGTCAGGGTGGGAATGGAGATGCGGGTTAAGATGGCCACCAGGATACCAGGAAAGGCTTGACGAGAAAGTGACAGGCTGTCAAGAAGAGCATGCAGGAAAACATGCACTTTAGGATATAAGCCCCAATACTGGACCTGAGTAGGCAGAATTGGGAGACTGGAGGCTAGAGAAGTGAAGGGAGCTCTCATCAGTGGGTCCTTGCGGGTGTCGTTGGAGCTTCAGCTTCCACTTTGTGTTACACTGGAAACTACTGGAGGATTTTGAGTGGTCAAGTAACATAGTCTAACTTAAGCTTTTGCGGGACTAGTCTGTTGTGTTGAGAATAGGCAACAGGGCGACAGGTGAAAAGCCACCTCAGTAGCTATGCAGAGCATGTGAGTAGCTGAGGCCAGGGTCCAGAAGATATGGAGCCAGGAGCAACCTCAGGTGTGTAGGGCAGAGCCTGCTGCTGCTGGGATGTGCAAGCAGGTGAGGAGTACTGAGGGAGGGGAGGATATGAGCAGCCTGTAGGAGGAGTGTCCTGGGGCCATGTGGAGAAGGGACTTCAAGTGCAGGCAGAAGTGGTTAGTCCATTGCCACCATGGGGTGAGGAAGGAGAGAACAGAAGCGAGCGATGGACTCAGCAGTATAAATGTCCCTGAGGTTCTGATACACCATCCTCAGGAGGTTCAAAGGGAGGGAAGGAAGAGAAGAAGAAGGGGAGAATTGGGAAAGAACAGAACCATGGCAGATGGGGGCCTTGCAGCCATTGTTGGAACTTCACCTTTGACTTTGAGTTTGGTTGGAAACTCTTGGGGAATTTTAAACTTACTGTCTCATCCCATCTTAGGGGAGGTGAGATGACAAGTGTAGGCACCACTTGCAACAGTTTTGACATCAAGAAGGGGAAAGTCATGGGCAACTGCTGGAAGGCAAGAAGGGTGGCGAGGGGTGTTTTGTTTGTTTTTCGATGAAAGAGAGAATATGTTTGTACACTGATGAGAGTGAATAAGGGGAGAGGGAAAGAAACATCCAGAGAGAAGAAGACGAAGAATGATTTCAGTGCTGTCTCCAAGTAGGTTAGAGGGTGGGATTCCATGGACACAGAGCAATTCATTCAGCCAGGAGCATGCCACTTCCATAATGACAGAGAGATGGTTAAATAAATGGATGAAGACACAGGAAGGTTTCTAATTGCAGTCGTGGAAACTTACTGACATTGATGAAACTAGTTAATTTATCTGATTAATTTGATTTTAAATCAGATTTTAATTGGCTCAACCAATCACACACATACACCTTTTCACATGGAAATTAGATTTCTTTTCATTTGAAGGTTTTTCTTGTTTTACATTAGTGCCCCATTTTAAAATGAAATCATTCTTTAATAATCAAATATAATGAGAAGCCCACAGAGAAAGAGAATCTGTACCACTTCTAATTTAAACTTTCTGAATTTGTATTAAATACAATGGTTTTTTATTTCATTTCTTATTTGAGTGCCTTACCAACATTTGGAGTCGATTGAAAATTATTGTTAAAGAGAAAATATATGGTTAAATGTGGGTATGTGAGAATGGGGACCTTTATGTGTTCAATCTATTTTAGGCAAAACTTAAAGCTATAATTGCTAATTTGGCAAAAATGCTCTCTTCTCTTAAAAAATGTTGAGTTTATTTCACATTTTCTCTATATTTTACATGTCATTGTCTCTTTAACTCATATCAAGTCCACTATATATTTGATCCATAGGTCTCTGGTTCTAATTTTTATTTTTGCATTCAAGTTGCTTTTGGCAACTTTTTGATATCAAGAATTAAAATTATTTTTATTAGAAGTTTTACCAATCCTTTTCCATCTGCATCAATAAAAAATATTCGGGAATTTAATTTTTAAGATAAAAAATAAATTTCAGATCCAAAATACTTGTTACTGAATTACGAACTAGATTGTATGGATCTGAAAAATAACACTGTATATTAAACAACGCATTGGGCTCCCTTATTTTGCCAGCTTCCACAGCTAATTCTTTTACAGAGACAAAATATATTTTTAGTCCATGAGATATTATCCCCTTTTTTTTTTTAAGCATGACTTTTTCTTTGGAACTTTAATAGTATTGCTATGTGTTTGAGACAGAGCAATGAGAATTTCTTCCTGAACTAGTTCTACTATCTTATACTAAGTTGCTTATTCTTAGAATAAAAGTTAACATGTGAATCTGTTTCAGATATTACAGTTTCATGTGTGTTTTCCCTACAATAAAAACAAGAGGAGAGATAGATGGGGATTAACACATTTACTCTGTTGTTCATAAGCCATTTCTTTAAGTGGCCAAATGTGTAATTTGGTAGTAATTTTTATGATGTAAGTAAATTTTCATTATTAATAATTAAATTGCCCAAATTTGCTCATGAGTCGTTCACATCATTACCAATTTCTGGATGATGGAAAAAGCTTAATGATTTCAAAATTATTTAGGGATTCCAACACGTTCATTCAAGGAAATGTTTGCTCACTTTATGCATATATCTGGAAGTAGAGTAGGTGTATTGTAGTTTGAGGGAATTGACAAGGTAATGTTTATATGAATAAGCAATTGATTTATTGCCTTTTTTCCTTCAAAGTTTTACATTTTCCTCCTTATTAGGACTGTTGAGAAAATAACTAATGATAAGTATTCCAAATCTAATAACTGCATCATGCTCGTATTCAACATTGTACATAGCATGAAAAACCTACAAAATACTCATGAGCAGTTTGTTGGCCAACAGGAGACTCACAAAGTGAGTCTAAAACTTGAACATCACAGTTAAAACCAACCCACAGTGCATTTTATATTTTTCTGTAGCAAGATTTGCTTTTTTTATACCTTGACTTTTAGAATTTCCAGATAAGTGGCAATGATATTACTGACTTTATTTTTAAAACTATGATGACCCTAGAGTTGATAAGTATTTCACTTTGTTTCACATTATGATTATGACAGATAAGGTAGTTACTGTGATCTCTATTGATTGTTGAGTTTTTGGATTACAAAGGAGAGTGGATCATTTTCATCTGCATCTAGTTGGTGTCCACACAGGATTTCCTGGGTAGTCTGGACTCTACATAGTATATGAGGTTTTTTTTCCACTCTGTTGGTTTATTATAGATATCATGAAACAAACTTCTCTATGAGAAATTCACTGTTTCTTTCTATCCAAGTCAAGGTAATACTTGATGCCTATATTTATGGAGAAACATCAAGTTAAACTTGGTCCACTGAATAACAGAACCTCACCAAAATATATAGAGATATAAACACCATTATGTATAATGTGAAAGTCAAAACTTGCAGCACTGCATCCAACTGACTTTCAATTTGCCCTTAAAATATCAGATATAACATCAAAACCAGTTTATCATTGTGCAGTATTTTAATATTGCTTCAGAACCATTTTGATGCTGTAATAACAGCATATGAAAGTAAATATTGTAAGAATGTTAGCCATTATTAGGAAATATTTCTTAGTCTTAACATAATTTAAAAGGCATGCAAATGTTTAAAGGAAAATTGGATTTTTCATAGAAGTAGGATCTGTCTTGGAAAATATTTTGAAAAGTTATGCTTAATTGACTCCGAGTTAGGCATCACAAGAGGAATTATTTTAATGCCTCATTATTTTTAATCAATAGTCAATATCTCAAAATTGTAATTATATATATTAATAGAAATTGACAGTGTTTCTTACAATTGGAGAATAATTAAATTGGTCTTACTAAATGTGGAAATAAGAAATACACTTTTCTAGAATTTTCACCATTCTTAGTTTCATATTAAAGATACACAACCACTAAAGCCAAAAAATAAGCTTTCTTAACACTTTTCTGTATAATTATTTGCGCAAGATAAATTATTAGTGCATGTTAGTTTAATTAATCCTGCTTCTTTACCAACAGGAAGGCTCCTGTATAACTACTATCAGTAATTTAGGCTTTTACTTATTTGGTAGGCTTCCTGAAAGGAAGTGTGATTATAGAATAGCCTTTTGAAAATAAATGAATGGCTATGTCAAACAGTTGATGAATACTGATATGGTAGCTTTTAAAAATAGAACAGAATCCAAAATTTTTGAGTATCAAAGGGCTTGTTGCTTCAAACAGTGAATGTCTACTCACAGAGGGGATAACAACATGTCCTGCCAAAGAGATTACTCAGAAGCTCAGCT